GTGTGTGTGTGTGTGTGTGTGTGTGTGTGTGTGTGTGTGTGTGTGTGTGTGTGTGTGTGTGTGTGTGTGTATGTGTGTGTGTGTGTGTGTGTGTGTGTGTGTGTGTGTGTGTGTGTGTGTGTGTGTGTGTGTGTGTGTGTGTGTGTGTGTGTGTGTGTGTGTGTGTGTGTGTGTGTGTGTGTGTGTTGTATGTGTGTGTGTGTGTGTGTGTGTGTGTGTGTGTGTGTGTGTGTGTGTGTGTGTGTGTGTGTGTGTGTGTGTGTGTGTGTGTGTGTGTGTGTGTGTGTGTGTTGTGTGTGTATGTGTATGTGTGTGTGTGTGTGTGTGTGTGTGTGTGTGTGTGTGTGTGTGTGTGTGTGTGTGTGTGTGTGTGTGTGTGTGTGTGTGTGTGTGTGTGTGTGTGTGTGTGTGTGTGTGTGTGTGTGTGTGTGTGTGTGTGTTGTGAAAAAAAAATAGTAGTAGTAGAAACAGTTGATTGACAGTTGAGAGGCTGGCCGAAAGAGCAGAGCTCAACCCCCGCAAGCACAACTAAGTGAATACAACTAGGTGAATACACACACACACACACACACACACACACACACACACACACACACACACACACACACACACACACACACACACACACACACACACACACACACACACACACAAGGCAGGGAGAAGGAAGATTGTGATCCTGGTAATCTACAATCCTCCACCAAACAGTAGAAGACCCAGGCAGGAGTATGATGACAACAACAAGGCATGCATAGATGAACTGCAGAAGGCAGCAACACTAGCCCACAGAATGAGAGCGAAGCTGCTGGTCATGGGGAACCTAAATCATGGAGAGATAAATTGGGAATCAAGGAATTCCCATGGAGGGGACGAAACATGGGGAGCAAAGTTAGTAAATGTTATAGACAGGAATTTCCTAACACAATATGTGACGGAAGACACAAGGGAAAGAGGAGATGCACCGAGCATATTAGACCTGATTTTCACCCAGAACGTAGAAGACATCGAGAATTTAGAGCATGAAATACCTCTAGGGGCCAGTGACCATTGTGTCCTAGTCTTTGACTATATGATGGAATTCAAACTTGTGACCATGGGACAAGAGATCTGGACAAGGAGAGTTGACTACAGGACAGGGGACTATAAGAGGATAAGGGACTATCTGGGAGAAGTGCAGTGGGAGGAAGAAATTAGAGAAAATACAGTCCAAGATATGATGGACCTGGTCATACGGAAATGCCAGGAGGCCGAAGAGAGATTTATACCAACAGTAAAGGGAAAAAAATAAGAGGGAATATAATAACCCATGGTTTAATAGACAGTGTCAGGATGCAAAAATGGCAGCAGGCGGGAGTGGAGGAAGTACAGAAGACAAAGAACAGAGGACAACAGGATCAGATGCAACAGAGCTAGGAACGATTACATTAACATAAGACGAACATCGGAAAGGGACTATGAGAACGATATTGCGATCAAAGCAAAAAAACAACCTAAATTACTACACAGTCATATAAGAAGAAAAATGTCGGTGAACGACCAAGTGACAAGAATAAGGAAGACAGAGGGGGGGGGGGGCATATACTGAAAGTGACAAGGAAATCTGCGAGGCACTGACTGCCAGGTTCCATGGAGTGTTCACAACCGAGCCTGAGCAGCTCCCATTGTTAGAAGAGATTACCCCAGATGAAAGACTAATAGATATAGAGGTGACAGCAGAGGAGGAGGTAATGAAACAGTTGACAACACTGGATGCAACTAAAGCAGTTGGACCAGACAAAGTATCACCGTGGATACTAAAAGAGGCAGCGCAGGCCCTCAGCGTGCCTCTAGCAATGATCTTTAATGAGTCACTTATGTCGGGAGAATTGCCCAGTTGCTGGAAGAAAAAGGGGAAAAAGTAAGAAGAAAAATTGAGAAGGTAGGAGTGGAGGGGATGATGAGAGGAGAAGGAGGTAAGGGGAAAGGAGGATTGAGGCGAGAGAGACAGGGGGGGGGGGATGGGAGACCCGGATCCCGCCGGGTACTTCACCCTGGTATACCTCTTTACACCCTACCATGCCAGAGTTATCCTCTCAGAGTTGACTGTTCTTCAGTCGATTCATGAGGACAAAGATGGCGCCGCCACCTCTTAATAATTTATGGCTTATAACCCGTCTTTAGGAAGTCGTCTTTAATAATTCCCAGATGGCCAAATCGCGACGTGATTCCGCGAGAGGCGGTCATTAGGTCAGGAGAGGCGGAGGGAGTGAGACGTCTCCTCTCTGCCTCCACGATATCTGAGTTTGTATTTTATTAACACATTTAGGTACATCTGCACATTAGGTACAGTGTGTAACAGAGCTATCTACGTGATACTAAAAGTCCCCATCACACAGGATGGTTAGTCATACAAGGCCATGTGTTCAGTAGCCTGCACTGGCAGACTCTGGGTGCAATATGAGGATATCTTCAAAAATACGAGAGTGAATAAAGTAATTGAAAAGCTCCAGGTACCTCATGCCAACGGGTCTGAATGGTCTAATAACTGGGCATTCGGTGATGTAGTGTGGGAGATCATGCCACAGTTCCTGCTCACACAGTTTGCACCTGGAATGCTCAGGATTTGGAGATCCGTCACCTGTAGCCACCTGCCACAGGTAACGGTAGCCACCTGCCACAGGTAATGGTAGCCACCTGCCACAGGTAATGGTAGCCACCTGCCACAGGTAACGGTAGCCACCTGCCACAAGTAACGGTAGCCACCTGCCACAGGTAACGGTAGCCACCAGCCACAGGTAATGGTAGCCACCTGCCACAGGTAACGGTAGCTACCTGCCACAGGTAACGGTAGCCACCTGCCACAGGTAACGGTAACCCAACCTGATCCTGGCAACCACTGTGTCGTACAGTCTAGTGGACGTTTTGTGCTGTCCATAAACATAGGTTTCAGATCTGAACAAATCATAGCTTTTATACTGGTGCTTTCAGGTCGTTGGGAGTCAGTAATTTCTCTCCTATTAGACCTGAGTGTTTGGAACAATATAGTTTTGACAGCAGAGATGGGGATATCTAGATCTAATTCAACTTTATCTTTGTTACTCACTAATTTGGCTGCAATGTCTGTCTCATTATAATGGGTTATAATTTATTTGTGATGGTATCCATACAAAGGAGATTCGAAACCCTTTGCTCTGTGCAGCAATTAGGTCATTTATAATTGGTAGTAAGAGGCTCTTGCTGTAGATCTTCCAGGAGAAGTTTTCGATTGCTTGAAGATCAGACTTTTAATCACAAAAGATTATTCCTCCTCCAATGTTTTTTAGTGTACTGGTAGCTAGTTGTAGTGCCGCTAGTTCTGCTTGTGTGGAGGTCAGCCAGTTGTTTAACCTGACACTGACAGTCTTTGTGCAAATATTATTTCTATAAAACCTACATGCTACTGCAGTCCGTCCAGTAGAAGGTTGGTCTGAGCCGTCGATGTAGACACAGTGAGATCTTAAGTGTTCGACATTTTTTTATTATTATTAATACATGAGGTACACCAGCATTAGTGCAGCTACCCTAGACTATATGAAGTGGAGTACAGTGTGTCAAAAAAGCTAACTAGGTGATGCTAAAAAATCCCCATCACACAGGATGGCTAGTCATACAGAGGCATGTGATAAGCGGTCTGCACTGGCAGACTCCAGAAGCATTTTGAGGATATCATCAACACAGGATTGAATAAGGTAGCAGTGGTAATAAAAGTCCCCATCTCGCAGGATGGTTAGTCATACAGGGCTATATGTTTAGTAGCCTGCACTGGCAAATTTTGGGTATACTGTGAGGATATCTTCAAGAATACGAGAATGAATAAAGTAATTGCAAAGCTCCAGGTACCTCATGCCAACTGGTCTGAAAAGTCTATTCACTGGGCATTCGGTGATGTAGTGTGGGAGATCATGCCGGAGTTCCTGCTCACAGAGTTTGCAAATGGAGCGCTCAGGATTGGGAGATCCATCACCTGCAGCCACCTGCCACAGGTAACGGTAATCCAACCTGATCAAGTGTTCGACATGAGTAAAATATCATTTGTAAGTCTACGGTTATTTGGACCAGGATTTCACTAACATTCGTCCTTGAAACTTCTCCACTTTTTTTTTTTTTATTTTTTTTTTGAGATATATACAAGAGTTGTTACATTCTTGTACAGCCACTAGTACGCGTAGCGTTTCGGGCAGGTTCCTGGAATACGATCCCCGCCGCGAAGAATCGTTGTTACAACCAAGTACACATTTTACTGTTGCGTAAAAACAGAGGCTACAGTTAAGGAATTGCGCCCAGTAAATCCTCCCCGGCCAGGATACGAACCCATGACAAAGCGCTCGCGGAACGTCAGGCGAGTGTCTTACCACTACGCCACGGAGTCTATTAAAGACTTTCGTGAGTGAATGACGTGGTACTGCCTTGAGTGCGGGTCACGGCCCTTTGACTGCCATTGGCGACATTTACACCACTCAGAACTGAAGTTGGGCACTTAAGCTTGAGTTCTTTTGACGGGACAAGTCCACTAACCATTCTGGGAGCACTGAACTCAAGTGGAAAGTCCATCACTGCTCTTAATTTCATCTGGTGTAATTAAAGTAATGACGTCACTGTCTGTCTAAAGCTTGCTCCCTGGCCGACTCCCTCGGTCAGCTGCTCTGAGCTATAATCAAGTGTCCAAAGCCAGGGACACTGGACACTTCCTTAGCCTCTCTGGCCAGCTGGCAGTAGTAGAGGCCACAGCTGTCCAATCATGGCCCCATTGTCCCCCCTCGCGCCATAAACTGAGCCTGCTGCTGCTCTTGAAATTATAAATTAAATTCTTTAAATCCGTCCTGTTAGTCCAGAAGGCCCCACACATGAGCACAGTAATCATGGAGGGGCCCACACATGTGCACAGTAATCATGGAGGGCCCCACACATGAGCACAGTAATCATGGAGGGCCCACACATGAGCACAGTAATCATGGAGGGCCCCACACATGACCACAGTAATCATGGAGGGCCCACACATGAGCACAGTAATCATGGAGGGCCCACACATGAGCACAGTAATCATGGAGGGCCCACACATGAGCATAGTAATCATGGAGGGCCCACACATGAGCACAGTAATCATGGAGGGCCCACACATGAGCACAGTAATCATGGAGGGCCCACACATGAGCACAGTAATCATGGAGGGCCCACACATGAGCACAGTAATCATGGAGGGCCCCACACATGAGCACAGTAATCATGGAGGGCCCATACCTGTGCACAGTAATCATGGAGGGCCCATACCTGTGCACAGTAATCATGGAGGGCCCACACATGAGCACAGTAATCATGGAGGGCCCCACACATGAGCACAGTAATCATGGAGGGCCCACACATGAGCACAGTAATCATGGAGGGCCCACACATGAGCACAGTAATCATGGAGGGCCCCACACATGAGCACAGTAATCATGGAGGGCCCATACCTGTGCACAGTAATCATGGAGGGCCCATACCTGTGCACAGTAATCATGGAGGACCCACACATGAGCACAGTAATCATGGAGGGCCCACACATGAGCACAGTAATCATGGAGGGCCCACACATGACCACAGTAATCATGGAGGGCCCATACCTGTGCACAGTAATCATGGAGGGCCCATACCTGTGCACAGTAATCATGGAGGGCCCACACATGAGCACAGTAATCATGGAGGGCCCACACATGAGCACAGTAATCATGGAGGGCCCCACACATGAGCACAGTAATCATGGAGGGCCCACACATGAGCAAAGTAATCATGGAGGGCCCATACCTGTGCACAGTAATCATGGAGGGCCCATACCTGTGCACAGTAATCATGGAGGGCCCATACCTGTGCACAGTAATCATGGAGGGCCCATACCTGTGCACAGTAATCATGGAGGGCCCATACCTGTGCACAGTAATCATGGAGGGCCCATACCTGTGCACAGTAATCATGGAGGGCCCACACACCTGAAAAGCACAGTACAAGATCTCTAATGTGCTATGCCTGTTAGAAACAAGTAACCAAAGACAACCTAAGTGTATATGTCATTTTATGTGTACTGTCGGCTCTTTGACCATTTAGTACTGTGTCGTTCAATGTTAATTTGGTTGACAGACACACGGAGTGACTCTGTGCTCCTTCACACCAGGAAAATGGCCAGTTTCTCTCTGCCACAGAGAGAAATTTCTCAGAGAGAAATTTTCAGCATTTTGGGCCTGAAATCGTCTCGATTAACTACTTTGGCAAACTGCTTGCTCAAGTTAAAATATTTTGCAAACCTTTGCTTTCTGAACAACTTTCTGTTACCAGTGTTTAAAAACATTTTTCATAAGAGTTGAATAAAGTAATGGGTGTAAAGAGGAGTGAGTGTGTGTGTGTGTCAGCGCCCAGTGCATCTTCCTTCACCTTTTCTCGCCAGAATTTTTACAAGCGAAATGAATATTTTTCATGCAGGAGCGTGTGTGTGGTGTTAGACTCGGGGCGCTCATGAGAGCTGAATTTCTTATGAGGGCTTCTCTTGCCTCAGCGTCCGTGAGGAGAGATGATTGTTCTCAGGGTCACCACAAGGGAAGGGGCAATGTTGGTGATTGTTACGATGTAGTCAGTATATAGGTGTGGGTTTGTTTCCTGGGGTCAGGTGTGGGTTTGTTTCCTGGGGTCAGGTGTGGGTTTGTTTCCTGGGGTCAGGTGTGGGTTTGTTTCCTGGGGTCAGGGTGGGGGTTGTCTCCTGGGGTCAGGTGTGGGTTTGTTTCCTGGGGTCAGGGTGGGGGTTGTCTCCTGGGGTCAGGTGGGTGTTTGTTTCCTGGGGTCAGGTGTGGGTTTGTTTCCTGGGGTCAGGTGTGGGTTTGTTTCCTGGGGTCAGGGTGGGGCTTTGTTTCCTGGGGTCAGGGTGGGGCTTTGTTTCCTGGGGTCAGGTGTGGGTTTGTTTCCTGGGGTCAGGTGTGGGTTTGTTTCCTGGGGTCAGGTGTGGGTTTGTTTCCTGGGGTCAGGTGTGGGTTTGTTTCCTGGGGTCAGGTGTGGGTTTGTTTCCTGGGGTCAGGTGTGGGTTTGTTTCCTGGGGTCAGGGTGGGGGTTTGTTTCCTGGGGTCAGGTGTGGGTTTGTTTCCTGGGGTCAGGTGTGGGTTTGTTTCCTGGGGTCAGGGTGGGGGTTTGTTTCCCGGGGTCAGGTGTGGGTTTGTTTCCTGGGGTCAGGGTGGGGGTTTGTTTCCTGGGGTCAGGTGTGGGTTTGTTTCCTGGGGTCAGGGTGAGGGTTATCTCCTGGGGTCAGGGTGGGGGTTGTCTCCTGGAGTCAGGTGTGGGTTTGTTTCCTGGGGTCAGGGTGGGGGTTTGTTTCCTGGGGTCAGGTGTGGGTTTGTTTCCTGGGGTCAGGTGTGGGTTTGTTTCCTGGGGTCAGGCGTGGGTTTGTTTTCTGGGGTCAGGTGTGGGTTTGTTTCCTGGGGTCAGGGTGGGGGTTGTCTCCTGGGGTCAGGTGTGGGTTTGTTTCCTGGGGTCAGGGTAGGGGTTGTCTCCTGGGGTCAGGTGTGGGTTTGTTTCCTGGGGTCAGGTGTGGGTTTGTTTTCTGGGGTCAGGTGTGGGTTTGTTTTCTGGGGTCAGGGTGTGGGTTTGTTTCCTGGGGTCAGGTGTGGGTTTGTTTTCTGGGGTCAGGTGTGGGTTTGTTTCCTGGGGTCAGGGTGGGGGTTGTCTCCTGGGGTCAGGTGTGGGTTTGTTTCCTGGGGTCAGGTGTGGGTTTGTTTCCTGGGGTCAGGGTGGGGGTTGTCTCCTGGGGTCAGGTGTGGGTTTGTTTTCTGGGGTCAGGGTGTGGGTTTGTTTCCTGGGGTCAGGTGTGGGTTTGTTTTCTGGGGTCAGGTGTGGGTTTGTTTCCTGGGGTCAGGGTAGGGGTTGTCTCCTGGGGTCAGGTGTGGGTTTGTTTCCTGGGGTCAGGTGTGGGTTTGTTTCCTGGGGTCAGGGTGGGGGTTGTCTCCTGGGGTCAGGTGTGGGTTTGTTTCCTGGGGTCAGGTGGGTGTTTGTTTCCTGGGGTCAGGGTGGTGGTTGTCTCCTGGGGTCAGGTGTGGGTTTGTTTCCTGGGGTCAGGTTGGGGGTTGTCTCCTGGGGTCAGGTGTGGGTTTGTTTCCTGGGGTCAGGGTAGGGGTCTGTCTCCTGGGGTCAGGGGGTTTGTCTCCTGGGGTCAGGGGGGGTTGTCTCCTGGGGTCAGGGGGGTCTGTCTCCTGGGGTCAGGTGTGGGTTTGTTTCCTGGGGTCAGGGTGGGGGTTGTCTCCTGGGGTCAGGGGGGTCTGTCTCCTGGGGTCAGGTGTGGGTTTGTTTCCTGGGGTCAGGGTAGGGGTTGTCTCCTGGGGTCAGGGGAGTCTGTCTCCTGGGGTCAGGTGTGGGTTTGTTTCCTGGGGTCAGGGTGGGGGGTTGTCTCCTAGGGTCAGGGGGTCTGTCTCCTGGTGTCAGGTGTGGGTTTGTTTCCTGGGGTCAGGTGTGGGTTTGTTTCCTGGGGTCAGGGTAGGGGTTGTCTCCTGGGGTCAGGTGTGGGTTTGTTTCCTGGGGTCAGGTGTGGGTTTGTTTCCTGGGGTCAGGGTGGGGGTTGTCTCCTGGGGTCAGGGGGGTCTGTCTCCTGGGGTCAGGTGTGGGTTTGTTTCCTGGGGTCAGGGTGGGGGTTGTCTCCTGGGGTCAGGGGGGTCTGTCTCCAGGGGTCAGGTGTGGGTTTGTCTCCTGGGGTCAGGGGGGTCTGTCTCCTGGGGTCAGGTGTGGGTTTGTCTCCTGGGGTCAGGGTGGGGGTTGTCTCCTGGGGTCAGGTGGGGGTTTGTTTTCTGGGGTCAGGTGGGGGTTTGTTTTCTGGGGTCAGGTGTGGGTTTGTTTTCTGGGGTCAGGTGGGGGTTTGTTTCCTGGGGTCAGGTGTGGGTTTGTTTTCTGGGGTCAGGTTTGGGTTTGTTTTCAGGGGTCAGGTGTGGGTTTGTTTCCTGGGGTCAGGGTGGGGGTTTGTTTCCTGGGGTCAGGGTGGGGGTTTGTTTCCTGGGGTCAGGGTTGGGTTTGTTTCCTGGGGTCAGGGTGGGGGTTTGTTTCCTGGGGTCAGGGTGGGGGTTTGTCTCCTGGGCTCAGGGTAGGGGTTTGTCTCCTGGGGTCAGGGTGGGGGTTTGTCTCCTGGGGTCAGGGTGGGGGTTGTCTCCTGGGGTCAGGGTGGGGGTTTGTCTCCTGGGGTCAGGGTGGGGGTTTGTCTCCTGGAATCAGGGGGGTCTGTCTCCTGGGGTCAGGTGTGGGTTTGTTTCCTGGGGTCAGGTGTGGGTTTGTTTCCTGGGGTCAGGGTGGGGGTTGTCTCCTGGGGTCAGGGGGGTCTGTCTCCTGGGGTCAGGGTGGGGGTTTGTCTCCTGGGGTCAGGGTGGGGGTTTGTCTCCTGGGGTCAGGGTGGGGGTTGTCTCCTGGGGTCAGGTGTGGCCCGCCTGAGGAAGGTCTCAGGTCAAGAAGAAGTGCTGGGAAGTCTTGGGGCTGAGAGAGTCTGTCAAGTGTGGGCGGCGTGTGGTAGGCTTGACGGCGGCGTGTGGTAGGCTTGACGGCGGCGTGTGGTAGGCTTGACGGCGGCGTGTGGTAGTCTTGACGGCGGCGTGTGGTAGTCTTGACGGCGGCGTGTGGTAGTCTTGACGGCGGCGTGTGGTAGGCTTGACGGCGGCGTGTGGTAGGCTTGACGGCGGCGTGTGGTAGGCTTGACGGCGGCGTGTGGTAGGCTTGACGGCGGCGTGTGGTAGGCTTGACGGCGGTGTGTGGTAGGCTTGACGGCGGCGTGTGGTAGGCTTGACGGCGGCGTGTGGTAGGCTTGACGGCGGCGTGTGGTAGGCTTGACGGCGGCGTGTGGTAGGCTTGACGGCGGCGTGTGGTAGTCTTGACGGCGGCGTGTGATAGTCTTGACGGCGGCGTGTGGTAGTCTTGACGGCGGCGTGTGGTAGTCTTGACGGCGGCGTGTGGTAGTCTTGACGGCGGCGTGTGGTAGTGTTGACGGCGGCGTGTGGTAGTCTTGACGGCGGCGTGTGGTAGTCTTGACGGCGGCGTGTGGTAGTCTTGACGGCGGCGTGTGGTAGTCTTGACGGCGGCGTGTGGTAGTCTTGACGGCGGCGTGTGGTAGTCTTGACGGCGGCGTGTGGTAGGCTTGACGGCGGCGTGTGGTAGGCTTGACGGCGGCGTGTGGTAGGCTTGACGGCGGCGTGTGGTAGTCTTGACGGCGGCGTGTGGTAGGCTTGACGGCGGCGTGTGGTAGGCTTGACGGCGGCGTGTGGTAGGCTTGACGGCGGCGTGTGGTAGGCTTGACGGCGGCGTGTGGTAGGCTTGACGGCGGCGTGTGGTAGGCTTGACGGCGGCGTGTGGTAGGCTTGACGGCGGCGTGTGGTAGGCTTGACGGCGGCGTGTGGTAGGCTTGACGGCGGCGTGTGGTAGGCTTGACGGCGGCGTGTGGTAGGCTTGACGGCGGCGTGTGGTAGTCTTGACGGCGGCGTGTGGTAGGCTTGACGGCGGCATGTGGTAGTCTTGACGGCGGCGTGTGGTAGGCTTGACGGCGGTGTGTGGTAGGCTTGACGGCGGCGTGTGGTAGTCTTGACGGCGGCGTGTGGTAGTCTTGACGGCGGCGTGTGGTAGGCTTGACGGCGGTGTGTGGTAGTCTTGACGGCGGCGTGTGGTAGTTTTGACGACGGCGTGTTGTAGGCTTGACGGCGGTGTGTGGTAGTCTTGACGGCGGCGTGTGGTAGGCTTGAAGGCGGCGTGTGGTAGGCTTGACGGCGGCGTGTGGTAGGCTTGACGGCGGCGTGTGGTAGGCTTGACGGCGGCGTGTGGTAGGCTTGACGGCGGCGTGTGGTAGGCTTGACGGCGGCGTGTGGTAGGCTTGACGGCGGCGTGTGGTAGGCTTGACGGCGGCGTGTGGTAGGCTTGACGGCGGCGTGTGGTAGGCTTGACGGCGGCGTGTGGTAGGCTTGACGGCGGCGTGTGGTAAGCTTGACGGCGGCGTGTGGTAAGCTTGACGGCGGCCATAAAGGCAGTTACGAGCAATAATGTTGGTGGTTATGACGTCACGGGTCCAGGTTCCCGCCAGCCTCGCCACAAATCTCTCATTCCTTGTCAACGGTGTCTCTTGTTAGCCCCTTTGTGGGGGGGGTGGGGGTGTGTGGGGGGGGTGGGGGGTGTGGGGGGGTGTGGGGGGTGTGGGGGGGTGTAGGGGAGTGGGGGGTGTGGGGGGTGTGGGGGTGTAGGGGCGTGGGGGTGTGGGGGGTGTGGGGGTGTGGGGGGTGTGGGGGGTGGTGGGGGTGGTGGGGCGTGGGGGTGTGTGGGGTGTGGGGGGTGTGGGGGGTGTGGGGGGTGTGGGGTGTGGGGGGTGTGGGGGGGTGTGGGGGTGTAGGGGAGTGGGGGGTGTGGGGGGTGTGGGGGTGTAGGGGCGTGGGGGTGTGGGGGGGTGTGGGGGTGTGGGGGGTGTGGGGGGTGTGGGGGTGGTGGGGCGTGGGGGGGTGTGGGGTGTGGGGGGTGTGGGGGGTGTGGGGGGGTGTGGGGGTGTGGGGGTGTAGGGGCGTGGGGGTGTGGGGGGGTGTGGGGGTGTGGGGGGTGTGGGGGGTGTGGGGGTGGTGGGGCGTGGGGGGGTGTGGGGTGTGGGGGGTGTGGGGGGTGTGGGGGGTGTGGGGGTGTGGGGGTGTAGGGGCGTGGGGGTGTGGGGGGGTGTGGGGGTGTAGGGGCGTGGGGGTGTGGGGGTGTAGGGGCGTGGGGGTGTGAGGGTGTAGGGGCGTGGGGGGGTGTGGGGGTGTGGGGGTGTAGGGGCGTGGGGGTGTGGGGGGTATGGGGGTGTGGGGGTGTTGGGGCGTGGGGTGTGGGGGGGGATGTGGGGGTGTAGGGGCGTGGGGTGTGGGGGGGGTGTGCCCAGCTGTGTCTGGGTACAAGTGACAGGATGAACAACCCAGCGGGTTTTCTTCCTATTGGGGAGTGTTGTACATGCTGCTATGGCGGTGTGTCCACTCACAGGATGAGTGGCGCTGCCCAATACTGTCACTATGGCGGTGTGTCCACTCACAGGATGAGTGGCGCTGCCCAATACTGTCACTATGGCGGTGTGTCCACTCACAGGATGAGTGGCGCTGCCAATACTGTCACTATGGCGGTGTGTCCACTCACAGGATGAGTGGCGCTGCCCAATACTGTCACTATGGCGGTGTGTCCACTCACAGGATGAGTGGCGCTGCCCAATACTGTCACTATGGCGGTGTGTCCACTCACAGGATGAGTGGCGCTGCCCAATACTGTCACTATGGCGGTGTGTCCACTCACAGGATGAGTGGCGCTGCCCAATACTGTCACTATGGCGGTGTGTCCACTCACAGGATGAGTGGCGCTGCCCAATACTGTCACTATAGCGGTGTGTCCACTCACAGGATGAGTGGCGCTGCCCAATACTGTCACTATGGCGGTGTGTCCACTCACAGGATGAGTGGCGCTGCCAATACTGTCACTATGGCGGTGTGTCCACTCACAGGATGAGTGGCGCTGCCCAATACTGTCACTATGGCGGTGTGTCCACTCACAGGATGAGTGGCGCTGCACAATACTGTCACTATGGCGGTGTGTCCACTCACAGGATGAGTGGCGCTGCCCAATACTGTCACTATGGCGGTGTGTCCACTCACAGGATGAGTGGCGCTGCCCAATACTGTCACTATGGCGGTGTGTCCACTCACAGGATGAGTGGCGCTGCCCAATACTGTCACTATGGCGGTGTGTCCACTCACAGGATGAGTGGCGCTGCCAATACTGTCACTATGGCGGTGTGTCCACTCACAGGATGAGTGGCGCTGCCCAATACTGTCACTATGGCGGTGTGTCCACTCACAGGATGAGTGGCGCTGCCCAATACTGTCACTATGGCGGTGTGTCCACTCACAGGATGAGTGGCGCTGCCCAATACTGTCACTATGGCGGTGTGTCCACTCACAGGATGAGTGGCGCTGCCCAATACTGTCACTATGGCGGTGTGTCCACTCACAGGATGAGTGGCGCTGCCCAATACTGTCACTATGGCGGTGTGTCCACTCACAGGATGAGTGGCGCTGCCCAATACTGTCACTATGGCGGTGTGTCCACTCACAGGATGAGTGGCGCTGCCCAATACTGTCACTATAGCGGTGTGTCCACTCACAGGATGAGTGGCGCTGCCCAATACTGTCACTATGGCGGTGTGTCCACTCACAGGATGAGTGGCGCTGCCCAATACTGTCACTATAGCGGTGTGTCCACTCACAGGATGAGTGGCGCTGCCCAATACTGTCACTATAGCGGTGTGTCCACTCACAGGATGAGTGGCGCTGCCCAATACTGTCACTATAGCGGTGTGTCCACTCACAGGATGAGTGGCGCTGCCCAATACTGTCACTATGGCGGTGTGTCCACTCACAGGATGAGTGGCGCTGCCCAATACTGTCACTATAGCGGTGTGTCCACTCACAGGATGAGTGGCGCTGCCCAATACTGTCACTATAGCGGTGTGTCCACTCACAGGATGAGTGGCGCTGCCCAATACTGTCACTATAGCGGTGTGTCCACTCACAGGATGAGTGGCGCTGCCCAATACTGTCACTATAGCGGTGTGTCCACTCACAGGATGAGTGGCGCTGCCCAATACTGTCACTATAGCGGTGTGTCCACTCACAGGATGAGTGGCGCTGCCCAATACTGTCACTATAGCGGTGTGTCCACTCACAGGATGAGTGGCGCTGCCCAATACTGTCACTATGGCGGTGTGTCCACTCACAGGATGAGTGGCGCTGCCCAATACTGTCACTATAGCGGTGTGTCCACTCACAGGATGAGTGGCGCTGCCCAATACTGTCACTATGGCGGTGTGTCCACTCACAGGATGAGTGGCGCTGCCCAATACTGTCACTATGGCGGTGTGTCCACTCACAGGATGAGTGGCGCTGCCCAATACTGTCACTATGGCGGTGTGTCCACTCACAGGATGAGTGGCGCTGCCCAATACTGTCACTATAGCGGTGTGTCCACTCACAGGATGAGTGGCGCTGCCCAATACTGTCACTATGGCGGTGTGTCCACTCACAGGATGAGTGGCGCTGCCCAATACTGTCACTATGGCGGTGTGTCCACTCACAGGATGAGTGGCGCTGCCCAATACTGTCACTATGGCGGTGTGTCCACTCACAGGATGAGTGGCGCTGCCCAATACTGTCACTATGGCGGTGTGTCCACTCACAGGATGAGTGGCGCTGCCCAATACTGTCACTATGGCGGTGTGTCCACTCACAGGATGAGTGGCGCTGCCCAATACTGTCACTATGGCGGTGTGTCCACTCACAGGATGAGTGGCGCTGCCCAATACTGTCACTATGGCGGTGTGTCCACTCACAGGATGAGTGGCGCTGCCCAATACTGTCACTATGGCGGTGTGTCCACTCACAGGATGAGTGGCGCTGCCCAATACTGTCACTATGGCGGTGTGTCCACTCACAGGATGAGTGGCGCTGCCCAATACTGTCACTATGGCGGTGTGTCCACTCACAGGATGAGTGGCGCTGCCCAATACTGTCACTATGGCGGTGTGTCCACTCACAGGATGAGTGGCGCTGCCCAATACTGTCACTATGGCGGTGTGTCCACTCACAGGATGAGTGGCGCTGCCCAATACTGTCACTATGGCGGTGTGTCCACTCACAGGATGAGTGGCGCTGCCCAATACTGTCACTATGGCGGTGTGTCCACTCACAGGATGAGTGGCGCTGCCCAATACTGTCACTATGGCGGTGTGTCCACTCACAGGATGAGTGGCGCTGCCCAATACTGTCACTATGGCGGTGTGTCCACTCACAGGATGAGTGGCGCTGCCCAATACTGTCACTATGGCGGTGTGTCCACTCACAGGATGAGTGGCGCTGCCCAATACTGTCACTATAGCGGTGTGTCCACTCACAGGATGAGTGGCGCTGCCCAATACTGTCACTATGGCGGTGTGTCCACTCACAGGATGAGTGGCGCTGCCAATACTGTCACTATGGCGGTGTGTCCACTCACAGGATGAGTGGCGCTGCCCAATACTGTCACTATGGCGGTGTGTCCACTCACAGGATGAGTGGCGCTGCCCAATACTGTCACTATGGCGGTGTGTCCACTCACAGGATGAGTGGCGCTGCCCAATACTGTCACTATGGCGGTGTGTCCACTCACAGGATGAGTGACGCTGCCCAATACTGTCACTATGGCGGTGTGTCCACTCACAGGATGAGTGGCGCTGCCCAATACTGTCACTATGGCGGTGTGTCCACTCACAGGATGAGTGGCGCTGCCCAATACTGTCACTATGGCGGTGTGTCCACTCACAGGATGAGTGGCGCTGCCCAATACTGTCACTATGGCGGTGTGTCCACTCACAGGATGAGTGGCGCTGCCCAATACTGTCACTATGGCGGTGTGTCCACTCACAGGATGAGTGGCGCTGCCCAATACTGTCACTATGGCGGTGTGTCCACTCACAGGATGAGTGACGCTGCCCAATACTGTCACTATGGCGGTGTGTCCACTCACAGGATGAGTGGCGCTGCCCAATACTGTCACTATGGCGGTGTGTCCACTCACAGGATGAGTGGCGCTGCCCAATACTGTCACTATGGCGGTGTGTCCACTCACAGGATGAGTGGCGCTGCCCAATACTGTCACTATGGCGGTGTGTCCACTCACAGGATGAGTGGCGCTGCCCAATACTGTCACTATGGCGGTGTGTCCACTCACAGGATGAGTGGCGCTGCCCAATACTGTCACTATGGCGGTGTGTCCACTCACAGGATGAGTGGCGCTGCCCAATACTGTCACTATAGCGGTGTGTCCACTCACAGGATGAGTGGCGCTGCCCAATACTGTCACTATGGCGGTGTGTCCACTCACAGGATGAGTGGCGCTGCCCAATACTGTCACTATGGCGGTGTGTCCACTCACAGGATGAGTGGCGCTGCCCAATACTGTCACTATGGCGGTGTGTCCACTCACAG